ACCTAGTGGCCAACCCGAAAGCGCTGCATAAAATATGACAATTTTTTGCCATGACTGACATGTGTGATGCGTTTCATGAGTTTTCGAGCATGGGAAAGCCTCCAAATATGCGTTTGTTTAGGAGGAAAAAGAATTCCTTCAATTACAATAGGGCCTTCGCACGGTCAGTGCTCGGGCCCTAATTAAAGACTCAAAGATGAGTCATTATTACTAGGATGAGTAATACTGGCATCTCAACAATGTTGCTAACTCCCATTGGATAGACAGGATTTCCTGGTTTGTCTTCAGTGTCTCTTCTTGTAGATCCCTATCTTGCATTGTGATCCCAGTGTGTGTGTGTGTGTGTGTGTGTGTGTGTGTGTGTGAGTGAGTGTGTGTGTAGTACTTGAGAATTTCCACAATATCATCTGCCCCTGGTGGATAAAACGTCCCTGTGCTGCTAACTCTAACCACTCAGTAAATCTAACCAAAACCCTCACTAACCCTTATGAACTTAAAACCACTCCTCACCTCAAACCACTTTATTGTTGCCCCATCCCACCCTGGAACTTTATATATATGCCGAACCCAACTTAGACCCAAAGGGCTTAAATCTGGTCAATTTCTTTCAACTTTGTGGCATTCCATCCAGGCTAAGTTAAATCAAAACCAGAAGTGTTAGGACTAATGTCATGGTAAATGGTAAATGGACCTGTACTTGTATAGCATCTTTCTAGTCTTCTGACCACTCAAAGCGCTTTTACACTACGTGCCAGCATTCAGCCCTTTCAAACACAGTTCAGCAATTTGGGGTTCAGGATACCTTGGCTCAAGGATACTTCGACACGTGGCAAGGAGGAGCCGTGGAACTCGAACCCAAAGCAACCTTCCGATTGGGGACGACCGCTCTGCCTCTGAGCCACAGCCGCCCAATTAACCCAGATCAGTGCAAGTTTTTCACCCCTTGGGTCAGTTTGGGTTCAGACAAACATTCTTTGGTGTTAGGTCAGGCACAGATAAAACATTAAATTTCACTTCCCCACAAAACCACCTAATGCTTTGACATCCTGGCAGGGCTTTCCGAGGCATTGCTGAGAGAAAGAGGCGGAAAAGAGAGCAGGAGGCAGCTACCATGATGGAGAGGTACCGTGTCCTGGCTGTCCTGTCCTGTCCTGTGTGGTGCTAACCCCCTCTATTTCTTAATGGACATTGTGGCTGAATTTTAACCTTATGTCTATCTATTCAGGGGTCGTCAGTTTACTCAATGGAAAAGGGCTCCAGTTTGACACTGACTCCTGAAGCAAATAGTCTTACACACATATATGCAACACATCGCTGGTGCATTTGTCTTTTCCTCCAGTGCTGCAGTTCAGGAAACAGAACATTGCCTGCACTCGTGTCCTCAACGGCTGTTATAGGACCATCACAAAGGTCGTAACAGTATCCCTGTGTGTGGTGTGTGTGTGTGTGTGTGTGTGTGTGTATGTATGTGTGTGCTATGAATCCTGGAGGCTGTGGACTGCAGGTTTAATTAGTGTTCTTCACTGAACACTGAGGAGTAAAAGCGGGGTCTATCAATACAGAGCTGTAGCTCACTGCTCAGTGGACAGCACTCAAAGTCAACAAATCAATCAGTATTTCGCAACAGACCTTTAGCCTGTGTGTGTGTGTTTGTAAATAACTAGTTCTTAAAATAGCGCAAGAGAATAATTTTTCTGTGTCACTTTCAGAATGCACTGCTTTTAATAGATAGTTACACAAATGGAATTTACACGTTTGAATAAGCAAGAAATGTTTCTGTTGCAAAGCATTTGGAAAGGTCAGTCGGATTGAGAGGGTTGGGTGAGACACACATGTATTCATGCGCACACACACAGCGACATGGATTTGACTCGGTTGTCTTAATGCGCAGGTGTCAGTGATTTTAAAAGCTCTTGTCACTCAGAACAAAAATACAACTAGGGCTGACTGATGGATCCCCTCTGACTCATCCCTCTATTTTAGGCTCTGCGTACACGACTCCTGCAATCAACACTGACATGTCAACATTTTTTTTTTGGAATGCCTTGAAACTGCACTTGTGATACAAAATAGCTAGAGGTTTTTTTTTTTTTAATGCACGTGGGAGGGTGTGTGCTTTGCATTTTACTGTGAGCTTTTGATGAACCTTGCAGCTGTTGGGTTGGGGTTACACTGATATATCAGGATGATACTGGCTTTTTATTACTTAGACTTTTGTTTGATGGGGATGTTGTTCAGTGTTATGGAGTTGGTCAAACAAGCTAGCAATAACTGACTACAGAGGGAGGTCTGATTAAGAATAATGAGCAGTGAAATTGTGCATCACCTATATCAGTTGTCATGAGTCATAGCTTTGTTTCACATCACTTCCCTTTTTCAGTTCACCACAGAACTCCGTAAGCCTGTGAACTCAACAACTCATGTTTAATTGGGAACAATATCACCTTCATAAAATGGAAAATGTCTCCTCATGGGGGTTGTTGTCTTCACTACCATTGCCATCATTGCAGTCAGCTTTTGGTAAATGGTAAATGGACCTGTACTTGTATAGCGCCTTTCTAGTCTTCCGACCACTCTTTAGTAACCAGCTAAAAACGGCCGAATAAGCATTTCCACCCTTAAAAACAATAGTTTCTGTCTTCCACGCTGTTGGGCAGCCAAAGGACGTCCGTAGGGGCTGGGAGACGCTGGCCTGCTAACGTTAGCTCCAGCTTTGTTTCTCCTGATAATTTTAAGATCCAGACATCCGATGACTAAAATCTTTCATGAAATCTAGACTTAAAAACCACCAAGATCTAAACAGTGATGGTAAAAATGTGACTTCAGACTGGATAAAAAGTCAATGTATGTAGAAATTTGACATATACAGTAATAATTTGGCAAGAATCTGGTGAAACAATACGTATATCACAATACAGGGGTTGTGATTCAATATTTTGTAATATATTGGGATACTGTAAGCAAGGCGATATATTGTGATTAAAAAAACTATTAAATTTAGGAAAGCTGACATAATATAAAAAACACACCACCATAAGCATAAAATCTGAGTAAAATGTAAAAAAAAATGTATGTAACCACAACATTGTATTTAGGTAGCAAGACTAAAACATGATTGACATACTTTGTCGGTCTTTATGTCCCTTTTGTGTAACCCTCACTCCACTTTGAAGGTTATCATCATTTTGCATATTGAAAACATACAGATTATCCAGACACGTGTAGACTGTCAGTCTGAGTCAAATAGACCATCCACATCCACTTCAATTCAACAGTTTCTGCAGAGGTAAAAAGAACAGTCAGCACATTGATTAATCCGTTTTTGCTGTTTGTGTTCCTTGACTTTGATGGTATTTGCAGACATTTGGCTAGGCTACCATTAGCTACCTGGCTACATGGCAGGGATAGACTGAATAAAGTTGTATCCATGCTCTGTTCTGACGACTCCACCTCTTCTAACCTCTTCTAGAGTCCAGATCTTGTGACTGTTATATTCTCTTTGACATAGCCAGTGTCAGACTCACATCAGATTCAATTAAAGTCACATTAGTGTGTACTTTCTGCTACAAGGAGCTCTCAGTTTCATACTGTAGCTTCACTTAAAGAGTGACAAATTCAGGGATAAGCACCACAAATGTAAGTAACTTGCACTACACTGAACCATCACAGACAAGCCTTGATGAATAATAAAAAGCTGTGTTTTAGACGCCACTTTAGACGTTCAGGGCCGTTTCTCTATTTCCTTTCCTGTTTCTCTTTTTATATTCTCTCTCTGCCCCAATAATTTTCTACTAGTCATGAATCAAACAAGGCCTTTTATGAAAAAATATATATAAATGTAACATAAATAATATGTTTGTGATCAGGGGCATGCAGAAGTAATGCTAGAGAGGCACCCAACTGAGCAGGGAAAGAAACTGGGGAAAAGACATGAATTTCCAATATGGACTGATGGTTCAACATGCATTTGATAGTCTGTTATCAGTAGCCATTTAAATGAGTTGAATGAGTTATTCTCTTGACTCAGTTTATTCTGGGGATTTAAAAAAAGTTTGATATGACATATCTGAGTAACTTCAGACACTAATTTAAAGCACTACATTGGCTTTTAAGTTTGGCCTGTTGTATGATCTAACGATTGGTACCAAAACCAACTCAGTACCCGATAGATAGTCCTAGTGTTTCAATTCTAAACTTGTATGGCTCACCCCCAGATTCCACACGTCCAAGAAGGGTCTTTTGGCTCTGCTGCTTGGAGAATACCTCTTTGGAGGAGACATGGAGACAGCATAGACTATCCAGACATTTTTCTAAATAAAATACCTTGTGCAGAATGATTGAATTTCACAAAAGTCAATCGGAGGCAGGTCAGAGGAGATTTGATACCACAGACGTTCATCTTGGAAGCAAAGAAACAAACTGATTTGTGGCTTTTTTAAGGACAAAGTACAGAAGTCAACGTCCGGCAGGCGAGACACTGAAGCATCTGAAAACTCTTTTAGTGGGGTTTGAAGATGCTCAGATCACAAAGCCAAACTGTGTCGCAAATGCAATGTCATAAAGCCATACCAGTGGAGATTTGGGTCAGTCTTTGGGTTCCAAGTGACAAAGCAAAGTTCATCCGTGCGTCCTTGCAAAAGAAGAGGAGTATTTCATCCAGGGGTGGTGCCTTACGTCCTGAGTCAGACAGTGTGGTCTGCCTGATGTGCGTTCTCATCAGCTCACATTGGGTTGTCTCATCACTTTTTGGATAAACTAGCTAAAGGAATGAGTCCTGAAACCTGAAACTGAGTTAGCATTTTAGCACTTTCACTTCCCTTGCCTCAAAGTCAATGGGTTTTATTAAGTAGATAGAAAATAGATTTTTCTGAAAAAATTATGCTTTGTTTTTAAAGGCACAAACTGTGACTTTGAAGCACTTTCTAGTATAATGTATGCTAACATGTTAGCATGTGCACAAGACGGGCTACTTATACTTGCAACTGATTTTGTTCCCACTTTCTTGTCACAGCTCTAGCTAGCATTTAGAATTGCTTTTTGTTTAGTTAATCTGTGTTTATAAGTTATTTTTGTTCTATGGCTCTGTTCCTCTGCTCTGTTCCCTTTTCTTGACATTTCTGTCTCTTTCTTCTCTTCCCTAAAATGGTAGAAATTTCCGCAAACACCTTAGGATGGTGGGCAGCCGCAGGATGAAGGTCCAGAGTAAGTCTTTCATACTATCTGTATGCATGTATATGGCTGATGTCGGTATGTTTCATGTTTTCATGCATTCATGCTCTACAGTGTGGTAAATGGACCTGTACTTG